CCAGATAGAAGGACAATTAAGAATATAAATAATAATAAATGTTGGCAATGACATGTTATTGGTGAAAGTAAAAATTATTACAACCACTATGGAAATCAGCATGAAGATTCCTCAAAAAACTATAAATGGGACCACCATATAACCCAGCTAATACATTCCTTGTTATTTATCCAAAAGAACTGAAATCAGCATACAACAGCGATGCATGCATTCCATTGTTTATAATAGCAGAATTCACAATATGTAAATTATAGAACCAAATTATGTTGGTGTCTGCCAACAGATGAATGGATAAAGAAAATGTGGCATATGTACACAATGGAGTTCTACTCAGCCTCACACACAAAAAAAACGAAATTATGTCATCTGCTGGTATATGGTTGGAAATGGAGAGCACCATGCTAAGTGAAATAAGCCAGACCCAGAAAGTCAAGGGTCAAATGTTTTCTCTCATATGTGGAAGCTAGAGCAAAAAAAGGGGGGGTGGAGAAGGGGGCATCTCATGAAAGTAGAGGAGAGAACAGTGGATAAAAGGAAGAACAACGGGGGAAGAGGAGAGTTCAGAAAGGGGAGCAACTGCAGAATGAAACTGACCAAATTATGCTGTGTACATGTATGAAACTATCCTAAATGAATCCCACCTTTGTGTACAAATATAATTCACCAAATAAAAAGGTAAATAAATAGAAGGAAGACCAGCAGAGCAGAGGAAGGGGATTAGAAAGAGGGAGGAGTGGAGGGGAAGGGGAAGTACTAGGGAATGAAATGGAACAAATTATATTATGTGCATGAGTGTCGCAATGAACCCCACTATTATGTATAATTATATTCACTAATAAAAATATGAGAAAAATGAAAAAAAAATCTGGAAATAAATTTAGAAATCTAGTTTCCTATACTAAAAACTCTTAACCTTACTGAAATTGAAGATAATCTAAATATGTAGAAAGATAAATTGTGCTCATGGAGTAGAAGACTCAAGATTGTAAATAATGTCAAGCCTCCCTTGACTGATTTGGAGATAAAATGCAATCACAATAAGAAATAGCAGTATGGGGTTTCTGTTTTTTAATTTGGAGGCAGTAGGCCAATTTTAAATTTTACATAGAAATACAAAGGGACAAGAAGAACATAAGCAATGTTAAACAAAATGATAGACTTACACTACCAGATCTCAGAGTATGTGAATTAAAACATTCAATGGTTATATTAACTGGTGAAAAACATACCAAACACACCAATGGGAAAAGGATAATCCAGAAATAAGATTCCTATACTGTTATAGTTTTATATTGCCATAACAAATTATTACAAATTTATTAGACTTCAACAACACAAATATATTAAGTCACAGGCCTGTAGGCTGGAACTTTGGGAGACTTGGCTGGTTTCTCAGCTTTGAGTCTCATAAGGCCCAAAGCAAGGAATCAGCAGGAGTCTCAAGGGGAGACACATCTTTGCTCATTCAGGTGTTGGCAGAATTCACATTCTGGCAGTTGTAGGACTAAGGTTCCTGTTTCCTTGCTGTCAGCCAACAGCTGTCCTTGGTCTCCAGAAGCCGCCCACATTCCTAGGATAATGGCCCTTTCCTCCATCTTCTAAGCATTAATAGCAAGTGGACTACCTCTCATGCTTGGATCACTCCTGCCTCTTTTTCTGAGGCAACTCTGTAACTGTTCTGCCTTCCTTTTTCGCTTTGATAGTCCAGGATAATCTACCAAGTCAGTACCTTAATTTAATGTAGCATGTTCACAAATTTTAGGAATTAGAACATGGACATATTTGAAGGGGGGAATACAAAGACTTGATTTGTTTTAAAGTTGATACCGTTCATCTAGACACAAACAATACCAATCAGAGAGAGGAAAAAAATGGACTTACTTAAAATTAAGGATTTTTTTTTTCAACCAAAGACAGTGTTGAGTAAATAAGAAGGCAAACCACTTTGTCTGATATTGGGATAAAATTGTTAGCTTTTTGGGCTGGGGATGTGACTCAAGCAGTAGCGCGCTTGCCTGGCATGCGCATGGTGCTGCGTTCGATCCTCAGCACCACATACAAATAAAATAAAGATGTTGTGTCCACTGAAAAACTAAAAAATAAATATTAAAAAGAAATTCTCTTTTTAAAAAAAAAATAAATTTAAAAAATTGTTAGCTTTCTTTTGATCAGTATTTATAAGTTTGCTAGCAACAAATTACCCTGGTTTTGTTTTTTTTAAAAATAGCTTTATCTCATCTTTTTGAAGGGTGTTTTTGCTGGGTGCAGATTCCTAGATTGACAGTTATTTTCTTTTAAGTACTTAAAATGTATTATTGTCATTTTGGTTCTCATTGTTTCTATGAGAGAAGACCTACTATTGCTTTGAAAAAACACATCTTTTCCCCTCTCCTTGGTAGCTTTAAGATGTTTCATATTGAACTTTCCATTGGTTTATAAGACGTGCTTACTGTAATTCTATTTTTTTTTGTCCTTCTTATTTTTTGGAATTGGTCAAATGACTCATACCTCATCCTTTGAGATTCTAATTTATTACTTCTAAAAGTCTTTTGTGTTCACCTGCCTCCAAAGCTCTTGCCTCTTCCATTATTTTCTTCTCAGGCTGCAGTGTGCTTTTTTTACTGAACTGATAACTCACTAATCCTATCTTTTGCCAAAACCATTATTATATCCATCTAATGTGTTCTCAATTCCAGATACCATATTCAGCTATAGAATGCCCATTTCACTTTTATAAATTTCTAATCAAAGTCTTTGTTTTATCTGTAATTGTCTCAAACATGTTAGTTATAGTTAGAGTTCTTGTCAATGTTTGGATCATGCGTAGGTCTATTTCTTGTCTATATTTTTCTATTAGATGTTAATCATGTCATCCTGTTGTTGGCATGCCTTAGAATCTTCAATTCATTTCCAGATGTTATATATATAAATGTTACAGGGTTCTGGTGACATCTTCCTCCAGAGAAGTTTATCCTTCCTCCTGTTAGGTTCATAAATTTAATTAAACCCAACCTGGCAAATCAGAGTTTCAAATCTTGGCAGAAGTTTCAGTCTACCTTTGATTTGTCTCTGGCCCCAAATTCCCTAGTAAAGATCACCTACGTGTCTCCAGACCTCTCTTGCTAGGTCCTGAATCATGTTTGTTTTGTGAGGCTTTATGTTCTGTACTCCATCCTAAACACCTCCACAATTTTACAAAATTTTTCATGGGGAATAACATAGGCTTGAGGCTCCCCCATATCTTTACCAAAAACTCTCTTGGTTTCTGTCCCTTAGCAGCTAGCTTTACAAAATAAAGAAGCAAAATTTCTAGCCTCCTGGCTGCAACGAGAATTGATTTTCCCTCAAGATAAATGCAGCCATAGAAGTCAGCTCAACTCTAAAATGTCTGCTCCTCTTTGGTGATGTGCCTCGTTGGATTTTTACTTCCTTTAAGCAGATGAGTTCTGTATTTTACTGAGCTTTTCTGCTAAGGGATGGTGGTAATGGATTTGACTATTGCTAGGCACTACTAACAGTTGGATTACCCATTCTTTCCCTTCTGAATGGAAATCGTTATTACATACAGGTATGTAGGGGCAGATATTTTTTTCATTTATAAGTCATCTAATACCAAGTGGTCACTTTAAGACTGAATAGAGAGAATGGTGCATTTCCAGAGGTAAATGCAGTCACTGCATGGAAACTTGAACAGATAGGTGTCTTATCAGTGGGGGAAAGGTAAGGAATGAATACTTGGTAGCTAACATGGTAAACTGTAATAGACACCTAATTATCACCCAAGATTCCTTTTTCCAGCTTTTGGCTATACACTTAGCCATACATAATGGAGGTATTGACTTTTTTTTTAGCTCAATGTGTTCATTGTCAGAAGTCTGACAGATACGTTGTGTGGCAATTTAAAAGTTGCTCCAAGCCCCTTTATCTTTCTTTGTGGTTTCTCCTTCCTGGGTATAATGTGGATGTGATGACTTGGGCTAAAGCAGCCATTATGAAGTGATTTTTGAGAAGAAAGCTATACATGATGAAGCAAGACAGGAATCTAGACCTCTGACCACTTTCTGGAGTGTAACACTTAATCCAGCTCTGGATAAATGCTACAATTTTCCATGAGAAACAAGTTTCTATTTTGTTTCAGCCACTATTATTTGGGGGTTTCATTGCTTGCAATTAAATCTAAATTAATCAGGAAAGTTTAAGACAACAGTTCTCAAAGTACAGCGGTACGGTCTGCAGACTTCCAGTTTTTTGGTTGTTGTTTTTGTTTTTGTTTATGGGATTGGCAAAGTCAACACATTGTCTTAATGTACTAAGGTGGTATTACCTTTTCCACTAAGGACATGCCCACTGGCGGCCACAAAACAATGATGGAGTTCAAGATCTGGTGGTGTCTGCCTGTGCTCCTAGCTACTCCAAAGGCTAGGGCAGAAGGATCCCTTGAGCCAGCAGTTGAAGGCCAGCCTGGGCAACACAGTAAGACCCCACAAGGAAAAAGGAAAAAGCAATGATGGATAAAAGCACCTGAGATTCCATCAAGGCACCAGTAGCCACGGTGTTCTTCTTCATGGTCAGCTGGAAAATGTCATTGTCTTCCTTGCAGTTGAAGGGGAAGTTTTATTCAATGTTCTTCATAAGGCAGTGGATTTACTTATTTTAAATCTTGACTCTTGAATATTCTGTATGAAGAAATGAGAAGTGTGCACAAAGTACTTCTGGGGATAACAAAGTATGGTTGCTGTCTTGAGGAAAAGCACTTGTGAGGCTGTTCTGAACTGTGAGACAAGCTAGGGTATTCAGACATGGGTACCTGACAGGCATTTTCTCAAACATGAATAAAGTGAATGTCACTGTAAGGAAAACTAAGGGTATTTGCTACCAATGATAAAATTTAAGCTTTCAACTGAAAAAAATCAGAATTTTGGAAAATGTGTACCTGCCAACTGATCTTGACAATGTCTCAATATTTAAAAGGCTTTTTGAAAATGAGATTGCCAGTCATATTAAACATGATTTAAAATTTTTATATTCTGAAGTATATTAATTTTGGGAAGATCCGAATACCCAGTGAATTGGTGATTCCAAATGTTACAAAAATCACAGAGAAAAAGTCACAAAGTACAAACAGAACAATGGATGTTAATGCAACTCAATGCAAAATTTCATGCATAGGGTCTCTGATTCTCCATGGCAACTAACCTTTTAGAAACTACAGAAATCCAGTCATACTAAAAAGCTATTAAAATATTCCTCCAGTTTACAACCACATATCTGTATGCAGCAGAATTTTCATTTACTCCAAACAAAACAACATATCAAACAGATCAAATGCAGAAACAGATATGGGAATCCAGCTGTCTTCTATTAAGGCAAACATTAAAGACATTAGCAAAAAATATAAAATAATGCTATTCTTTTCATCAAATTATATTTCTGAAAAATAATTTTCATAAAATATTTGTTAACATGAAGTTGGCTTTTTTTATTTTTTAGTTCTTGATAGACCTTTATTTTATTTACTTATTTTTATGTGGTGCTGAGGATCAAATCCAGTGCCTCACACATGCGAGGCAAGCACTCTACCACTGAGCCACAACCCCAGCCCAACATGAAGTTGGTTTATTTTTAAATTAGTAAATGAATTTTTATAATTTGTCAGTTTTCATTTCTAATATAGTAAATATTTATATATCACTCAGACACAAAATTCCTTAGGTTTTTTAAAAAAGTAAAAGAGTCTTGAGGCCAAAAAGCTAGAAAATCTTAGGCTTATGATACTGGATTTGAGACATAATTGCAAAGCTGGTATTTCATGAGAACATGAGGAGAACAGTAAAAGTACCATAAAGCCCAGAGTTGGGAAAATAATTCCATGTTAAGAGAGAGAGGGAGACAGAAAGATTCTAGAAATTGTAGACAAATTCTTTCATATTAACCTTCAGAGAAAATGTTAGGACAGATTAAACAGAAAGTAAAGTGGAAACCATTAGCTCCCAAAACAAGTTCAATAAGAATAAATCATGTCACACCAAGGAATATTTGTTTTCCTGCTAATTGGTTGAAAAAAATTATGAACATATTGTATTTCCCATTAAGCATTTGATTATCAGTTATAAAATAATGGTCTGGAGAACTAGTAGTAGATTAACCAATCTGCCTGAAGCAAAATGTGACCAAGTTCAGAAGTGGTACAGATTATTACACAGGAAGCCGTATGTAGTACTGACTCAGAACAGGCTGAGAGTCAAGCCAGAATTCAAGTGTCCAGAAAGAAATCAGTGATTTGGATAGCAATGATCACTCATCAAACAGATAACCGCTGAGCCATCTACCACATGCCAGGTGCTGCACAGAGCATTAAACAGAGAGGCAAGCAAGAGAGATGTGTTAGTCAGCTTTTTGTCACTGTGACCAAGATACCTGACAAGAATAACTTAGAGGAAGAAAAGCTCATTTTGGCTCATGGATTCAGAGATTGAGTCTGTGATCAGTTGGCTCCATTGTTCTAGCCCAAAGTGAGACAGAACTCCATGCAGAAGGGCCTGCAGAAGAGCCTTGCTCACCTCATGGCAGCAGGGAAGCAGAAAGAGGGGAAAGAAATCACAAGGAAGATACCTGCTTCTAGGGCACCGCCACAGTGACCCATCTCCTCCAGCCTCACTCCACCTGCCTACATTACCATCCAAAGTCAGTCCATTCAAACTAGGATGGACTGGTTAGGTCACAACTCTCATAATCCATTTCACCTCTGAATATTCCTGCACTAACAGGAGCTCTTGGGGAAATATCTCATATCCAAACCATAACAATAGAGGAGATGTCATCTTTTACAGGACTAACTCACAAGCATAGTCAGGTCTTGTCCTCTTATAAAATGCAGACTCTTTACCTGAGTTAATATGAAAGAAAGAACAATTAAAAGATGTTAATAATAGAAAAATGAACTAAATTAATTTAGATTTGTTCTCCCAAATAGGGGTGAAGAAGAAAAATTACTTGATTCACATGCTTTTAAAATAACAGTATGGGACAAAAAAAATGCATTCTGATAACTATTCCCATAAGTCTATGGTTGAAAAGAAGAAAAAATAAGGAAGAGAAGAAACGCAAATACGTGAAAGAGATGCAGAAGACTGAGACACTGCAAAGAACAGTGGTGCTGGGGGAACCAGCATTCGAGAAAGATAAAGCTGTGATTCTAATTACAGTATCTCTTGAGTTCATTGGGTTGGCTTAACATCATCTTTTAAACCCCATTTATATAAGTGCTTTATAAATGAAAAAAACTATATAAATGCTTAGTTTTCATATTATTAGCAAAAGCCAAGTCTTTACTGAATTTCACAATTCTCATAGAAAATTATTTGATCCTTCTGTTTTTGAGAATTTTCTTCATCTTCTCCTAAAAGGAGTTCCTTTAAGTCTTCAGTCTTCAACCTCTATTTCATTTACTTAAACAATTTAATTTCTCAAATGCCTACTTTAGCTTTTCAGTCTTCATGCTCAGAAAAAGGTTTGCTCAAACTCTTTTATTTATAAACTTAGGTAAACATATCAATGGCATTCATAGTTTGCTGTTATAAAATTTCATTTGAATATCAGTTAAAAACACCATGTGTTTCATATAATTGTGAGCCAGACTGGAAAATCAGGGAATCCCAAATTCTGACACTTCAAAACTAAAATGGTACATGTCTCTGAATTACTACTCCATTTCTAAAAGTTAGAGAAGAAAAAACTAATTTCAGTGTTAGTTAGAACTCATACACCAAAAGCATTTATTGCTTTGGTAAAAACAAATGGTCTGTTGGGTTTCACAAAATGAACCCTCTGGATTTTGCTGATGAATATCCACTGACTTTTTGAATTTCAATGTCACTTCTTCAAGCTTCTGGACTATTTTCTTCTGCTATCAGTAAATATCCAACAAGTATTAATCTTAACATTTAAGTATTAATCTTTAGACTTAATTCAGACATTAGCAATAAGAAACAAACAAGCAAACATTTAACAAAGCATTCCAAAGTGAAATATATTCACATGTATGAGATTTTCTTAATACCAGTCTTACATAACTTAGCAGGATTCCTTCTCTCCACAGATATCTGTATCATTTATGTTCTTACTTTTTTCAGGCTTTCCCTGACCACTCCCAGTTATGACAACTGCCACCCTCTACCCACCTTGTTTCATTCATCACCACAGAACTCACCATTATCTGACAAAAAGAAAATACCTAAGTGTATGTTTGCTTTTCTTTGTCCTCTTGCCCTTCCAATGCATTCCATAAAACCAATTTCATGATGATAGAGATATTAGTGCCTTGGGCTATTCCTAACATACAGTATGCATTCAAAATCACAGAACCTGCTAAAGGAATCTTGAGATTATAAATACAATTTCCCTAGGTCATCAATGAGAAGATGACCCTTGAATATGGAGACAATAAGAAACCTAAACAGAGAATGTACTCGATAAAGTCCTTGAAACTGACATCCCTTTAATATAGTAGTTAAGAACGCAGACTTTACACATAGACAAAGCTGAATTCCAATCTGCTTGTAATAGTGACATCATTAGGAAAATAACCTCGCTATGCCTCATTTACTCATTATAATATAGGGATATAATAGCACCAACAATGTTGTTATTATGGTGATTAAATGCGGTAACGTGTGAAATACTTGAGTATACAGCAACAGATAAGTGTTTAATAAAAGGGAGCTCATACTGTTGTTAATATCATTACCACCATCCCACATAGGTTCCACAGCCTATTTTCTAATACTTCCCAATTAATTTATGTTTAAGACTGCTATCTACTTTCTAAGTTCATGCAACTGAAAAAGAAGCAGACTGGAGAAATAAAACAGCTGCCAAAAGCAAGAGAAAAAAAAAAAGCAGGAAAGATGGAAAAACACAAAAACTAGATTCCCAAGGTAATAATACATTACAGCACAATAATTACATCCGTGAAGAAGATGACAAGCCACTAAGAGAAAAGTTGTATTACCTTTAATATACTGTTTTCAGATGGGAAGAATATGTAATTTTAAAATGAGGGGCTGGAGGTATAGCTCAGTGATAAGAGTGCTTGCCTACAAGAGAGAGGCCCACAGTATAATCCTCAGCACTGAAGAAAAATAATTTTAAATTAATCAGGTTTACTTCCAAGTAGTTTATAAGATCTTTTGATGTAAAGTATAAACTTCCATTGTCTTCAAAATTTACCTTCTAGAGAAAAAGAATAAAATAAACCAGGCATTATTAAATAAATGGTTTGGATATCTCTGCAGTAAACACCCAAACAGTGTGATTTATCCAACCTCTTTGCAACTTTTTTATGGGATCACTCTTCTCTTATACTCTGTAAGGAGATAATGTCAATTGTGGATATCAGAGGTGATCATCAGCAGTTCCATTTACTGTCTCAGTGATGTTATTCCCACCTTGTAACAAATCTACATTTATTAATCAATTCCCTTTAGTGACAGAATAACCAAGGCTCTCTAAGATTAGAAAGAAAATCAAATTTTAAAATCAAACCATATTCCAAATTTCTTAAAAGATTTTTTTTTGTTCAATTCCTTTGTAAAAACATTGGTCACCATTTAACATACAGTGCAACAAAATGCACTCAGTTTACATGCATCAACAAGTCAATAAATCATAATACAGGGACAACATGAATTTCAAGCAGACAATACTGAAGCAGGTCATGTTGCATTAACCACAGCTCTAGTGTTCCTAATAGAGAAACAGTTAACACAAGAGAAACAAAGAGTTCCAGTTTCAATCTGAAATAGGATTCTTTGTGGCAAGTAACAAAATAAGGATCACATGGAGTTATTACTTTAAAGAGAACCATTTCTCAGAAATCATTTTGTGCAAAGCACTGCCTTAAAGCAGAATAAGACCTTGAAAAAAAATGTATACCTTCAGTTACGTCAAAAGGGTTTCATTTTTTGAAAATCATTTACCTGAATGATCCAAACTTTTATTATGACTATAAATTAAAACATCTTACAATGTGAAGGTTATATTCCATGTTTTGATCACTTAAATAATTTTGAATTTTAATTTTCAATTAAATTTAGAGATTCCATTATTAACTAAATTAATGACAGGGCTGGATTATTTTCAAGAGCAAAAAAAAGGAAATCAATAATCAAAAGTCCTTTCTAAACTGATCGTGGTGGTGCACATCTGTAATCCCAATGGCTCGGGAGGATGAGGCAGAAGGACTGAAAGTTCAAAGCCAGCTTCAGCAAAAGCAAGGTGCTAAGAAACTCAGTGAGACCTTGTCTTGAAATAAAATACAAAATAGGGCTGGGGATGTGGCTCAGGGCCAAGTGCCCCTGAGTTCAATCCTCAGTTACAAAAAAAGCCCTTTCTAAACTTATAGGTCAATTTTCTGGAGATGAGATTTGATTAATAAAAAGAAAAGCCAAGCACCATAATAAAATACTTTAAAAAAAAACAGGACAGCAATCAATACATAATTTAGGGACAAAAGCACTTATATGTTTATCAAAAAAATTAAATAAGCACTCTAATCCTAGCAATCTAAAATTTAAAAAAAAATTCTTTTTGGTGTCCATGTGAGATACAATATTATATCCTTAAGATAATTCTCTTCAAGATATCAGGTTGTAAAATCTGAATTTGATCAAATGAGAATGTCATGTTACTTGGCCTAAGAATTTTATATATTTATTTTTATGTTACATATTTTCCTTCTTCCCTCAAAATCTATGATTAATGGATATCAGCACTAAATTACTGTGAAGTACAGAGAAGAGAATTTATGACAATTTTCTGGTGGAAAAAAAAAATCTCCCTGAAAATGAGAGCTCAAAGTAATTATGTGCAAATGAAACTTCAAAATAAGATTCCTAAATATAGCCATCCTACAAGTTTGTCTTTTACATCTATTTAGCAACATAACTTCAAAACCAGAATAGTAAATTTTAATTTTTTTCTTCCATGATGTATTTAATTATTCTGTTACAAATAAGAGTAATTTTTAGCACAAGTAACAAGCTATATGCTAAAAAATTTAACAGTTCAAAAATTAAAATTTAGGATTCAGACACAGGTATACTTAGGTCAGATATATAAGAGTGAAAATAAGCGATTTTAACCAAGTATATGCTTTAAATGCCACAAAAGAAAAAGAAACACTAAAAATGGGAGAAAGGATTTTACCTCATGTAACTTGACTAGACTACATAACAAAAACAAAATATAAAATATTCAGTTTTCACTTCAAAAGAAATTATCCAGAAATAAAATTCACTACACAAAATATAACAAGGTTAGGATTATAAGGATGGGGTATTCAGATGAGAAGATACTACTTTGTGGGGGATGGAAATCCTTCCTAAGCAATAATTTGTATCTCATTAAACTTCCAAACATAAACTTCACACTTATACCACAAACTTTTCTATTTTCTACTTCTCTAAAAAAAAGAAATTTTAGCTTCTTAATTTCCAAGTATCATGTCAAATTCCTTAGTTCACCTGATTCCACAATCCCTAATTTAAAAGACTGTAAAATAATAATTTTCTGCCCCTAAAGAGTCTGAACCTGTGATGTAATTATTCACAATAAGGAAATTAAAGGTAAAAAAAAACATAAATAAGTACACTTGTTAGCATCTAGGTTTTTTTTTAAAGAGGGAGACTGTAATTGCTCTGTTTAACCCCTGGCTCTTAAGACAGTATGGTCAGAAAATTAAAATGAATAATATATACTTAAAACCTGTATTTATTTTGAATAGATGTGAGAGTTAAGAAAATGACTGAAATTATATATTGTAAATGTTTACTGTGAAAGAGTACAAAATTGATGTTGCCAAAAAGAGTAAAAAAAATTTTAACTGATATTAAACATCTTAAATAATTTGGGAAAATACCCTTAGGTTGAAGTGCAACTATCAAGGAACAACAGCGCCCCCCAAAAAAAAAAAAAAAAAATGCTTTCATGCATGTATACATGTTAAGTAACAAATAAGCAAACCCCAAGTCAGTACAGTACATCAACAACTGAGACTTAAATATTTTGATATACAAAGAAAGAGAAGGAAAAGATAAAATTGTTGACAGCCATTGATGAAAAAAAGCATCTCAACAATTTACACAAAATGATACTAAAGAGTTTCTTTTAAAAAGATGTCTTAAGAAGACCAAGCCACAATAAGTTAGTGTTTTCCATAATACATGCTGAATTGTTTGATCCCATATCTATACACTGTTACTGTCTTAATTCCTAAATGTTGTGACAGCATATATTTAATAACTGAGGTACATTAGTTTACATCTTTTTATAGGTACTCTAAGAGGATGAATTTTCCATTTCCAGTTTTTCATCGTCTTCACCTCCTCCAAAGAAAAACAACGGAAACATTCCTAGAATGCAGCCAATAGTCACCCCAACAGCTTTGCCCTAAAGAAACACAAAAGAACATTTGAAAGTTACTATATCCCTGAAAGGGGTATCCTTGCTTAAGTATCTATTACAATAGACAATTACCATGTACTAAAATATTTAACTTGATCAGTTGATCATAGTAATTTAAGCATTTTTAAAAAGCTACAAAAATATTCCAGAACAGGTCAATTTAAAGTCTGAAGCAGGGCTAGAAATGTGGCTCTGGTAGAATGTTGCTCTATCATGCACCAGGTCCTGGATTCAATCCCAGCACAGCAAATAAATATGTACATAAATAAATAAATAAAAATTTAAAAACAAAGTTCAAAGTAACCAGGAAAATCATCTTAAAAACATCATCAAAGAAATATTCACACTGACAACACTTTTTAAAAATTGTACATATAAAGGTCAAAAAATAGGAAGGTAGGATAAAAACTTGTAACAACTACTCTCAAAATATTTGGATTTGCTGTATCTTGTATATATTTCTTTTCTACATTTATTCCCATGTATACACAATTACTTATAGAAAAAATAATTATGTAAACATTGCTTAATTCTCTGCTTCACTTCACACTCCAGAGCAACCCCTGTTACAATAAACTTTCCAAACTGTTACATACATTTAATATGCAGATATCTAAATGCCACTTAATTGATGGTCTATAATCTCCTTAAAGCTTTCCTTGCATAAAAAAATTCTTTACTTCACCATTACAAGTGAACAGCAATAAATATGTCTGTTTTTACTTCTTCCCAATAATTCATTTAAAAATCAAATATAAACATTTGTGCATCTTCAAGGTTACAGTCATGCTGTCTACCCTGGACAAAACTACATATACATTCAAAAAAAAAAAAAAAATATATATATATATAAATTTCATTATATGTGTATGTTTATATATACATAAATTTTCTGCAATCTCACCTACATTATGAAAATTTTAAGTTGTTTGCTTCCATATATCATTTTTAAAATTTACATTTCTATGATGACTGTCAAGTTTAAACATTTTTCAATTAAGTTTGAGTACTCCATACAAGCATTGAAAATCTACTATGTGTCAGACTCCATCCTGGGTATACCAAGGAGATGGAGCCTGGCCAGAGGTAGTCTGTCTTTCTTTTCCAGAAACTTCCATTAGGTATACAAAGGAAGACAAAATATGTCCTGTCAAACACTATAGATGTTATGATATTTTCATAATCTACAGTCCTGAATAAAATGTCTTCTTCTATTAGAGCCTATATTTTTTCTAATAAATTTTAATAGTAGACATTATTTCAACAAGAGCTTGTATAACATTTTTTTCAACTTTTGCTATTTTGGGTTTTTTTATTGGTGGTGGTGGTGGTAGTAGTTGTATGCCCATGCTTTATATTAATAGTCAAATCTGTCATTTTCATTATTTCAAAATTTTAAAAGGTATAACTCCTTCAAAGTTTTAGCAAGATAAAATTTAAAAGTTTAATCCTTTATTCTTATTTGACTTCAACATCTATATTCACTGATATATCTTTAGAGTCTATATTAGGTTGTAAGACTCCCTTCCGCCAGCAGACTCATTTCTCTCCCCCTTGCTGATTCTGAAGAAGACAACTGCAATGCTGTGAAAGGGTCTATGCAGAAGGCCATAGGCCATGGGACTCTAGGAGACATGGCTGTCCTCTGGCCAAAAGATAGCCAGAAGATGGGACCTTTACAGACACAAGGAAATTAATTTTGCCAAAGAACTGTGAGAACTTGGAAGTACATCATTTCCAGCTGAGCCTCCAGGCAACAACCAAGTCTTGGCTGCACAATGACTGCAGCCTTCTAGGGGACCCAGCTGAGCTGTGCCTGATCTCCTGACCCAAGAAAGTGAGAGGTAGTAAATACGTGTTGTTATAAGCTGCCAAATTCATGGTAATTTTTTATATATGAATACATAGGCATAAATAGGAGCCTGAGAGTTTGCATTTCTAACAAGTTCCCACATAAAGTTGATCTTGTAGATCTTGGCACCATCCTTTGACAACCACTGACCTATAAAATCTTACTATTTCTCAAGGTTTTAACTCTCACCTAACTTTTTTTCAGTGGGGTCTCCATGACTTTCCTATTTAATACTCTAATCTGACTCTATTGTAGCACTCCCAATACTTTTGTTTTTAATTCTCATTTTGTTTATGAATTTCTAATATACTAAAAAAATTATCATGTCTTTTTATTGTCTTGTCTCCTCTTTTGCTGGAACACAAGAGAAGAAAGAAGGAAAGAAGGAAAGAAGGAAGGAAGGAAGGAAGGAAGGAAGGAAGGAAAGAAAGAAAAGAAAGAAAGAGAGAGAGAAAGAAAGAAAGAAAAAACTCTTATTAACTGATGTATTAAAAACTCCAAGATCTGTACCTGGTGCATAGTAGGTGAACAATAAATATGTGCTAAATGAGTGCGATGATGACACCTATCATCTCTAATTCACACCTCTCTAACTCTTACCTTTAACCCTAACCCTAATAAGTATCACCATTTGAATATCCTGCTAGCATCTTATACTCAATAGGTCGAAAGCAGAATTCTTCATCTTCCCTTCCCATCTTGCTCTTCCTCCTTTTCTTGACTTAAATATGAAGGAAGTTGGATGCTACCAGTAAAGTCTTCACTGGCTGACTATCACCGTGTTTGAGGTACGAGCTCCTTAGCAGGGCATATACTGTGCCTTTCCTGTCTGGTTCATGCTTATTTCTCCAGTGCTGTTTTTTAATACAACTCTATCCGCAACTACTACATAGTATAGTCACAAAATTCCTAATTTTCTGTATTTCTCTGAATATTCCCTTTTTCTTTATCATACCTTTTATTTGCTAGACATTATACTCAGAACTCAACTGTTTTATCTAGTAAATGTCTCATTGATAACTCAAAAATAGCTTAAAATCAAGAATTACCAAGAAATCTCCCTACCAAAAAACAATCCCCCCAAAAATGTTATTTCTCCTTCTTGTGCTATTGTTATACCTTGTGCATAATTCTATTACTGCATATGTCATACTAAATGATAATTTTTCTACATGTCTTTCTACCTAAACTAGTGTCTTAAGGATAACTATAGTTAATTATTCATTTTACATTCTCCAATCTCTGGCACATAACAGATACTACTCCTTAGGATTAACTGAATTGTATAAAGATTTTTTTTTAAAAATCAAGTCTACTTATAAAAAATAAGGAGCCAATACATAAATACTTATTTTTATAAAGACTTCCAAGGCCTGTATAATTTTTGTTAACTGACTTTACTCAAATCAATTTTAGACTCAGAGTTTTCAAGATACTAAACTTAGTGTCGTTCTTTGTCTACCCAAATTCATTGTCATAGATCATATAAATTACTTACCAAATGTGTACTAACACGTGTTTGCCACATGTCAACTTGCTTTGGTGTGAGGTCAGGAATTGACAGGCCTAACCTGGAAGCCAAAGCTTCAACATAGCCTGCAAGTCTTTAAAAAAACAAGATAAGAGAACAGAAAATGAGTTTTTAAAAAGACATGCAAGTGTCCTCATATAATAAAACAATAATTATTGCAAAGAGAAACAAGATAATTTTACATGTGTACTGGCACTACAGAATGGCAAAACAGTTCTTGCAACTTTTATTTTTAGCATATATAAATAACCCAGTTTAGGAATATTTTCATATTAACATGTTTCATAGGTAAACTGACTCAAAGCAATTATTCTCCATCATTATCTTAAAAAGAACTATTCAAGATACATAAAATTTTTTACAAATAATTACAATTTCTGTACTTGTTCCAAAACTCAAAGCAAAGTACCTTAATTAGTATAAATTAATAACTATTATCAGAAACAAAAAGGTTTTCTAAATTCATCATATTTGTATACTAAGACAGGCAGCCTAGAATATTCAAGCTAACCTCAAGTGTTTTATCATTTCTAAGTTGCTATCACTTAAAAGATATAATTTTAAAGATATAAGTTTTTGAACTTCAAATAAAAAGTTTGCCAATTAGGCTATGCATACCATCAATCATAAAATGGATCCTGATATCAGTCAGATATGTTAAATTTTTAAAAACTATGCACCTAAGAACCCATAAAATGTAGATCTGTTATTTAGTGGAAGTAAAAATAAGACAGAAGGGAAACAGTGCTTAAATATAAAGAATCCTAGTAAAAGATTCATCTCCAATTTAAAAAAAAAAAAACTTTTATGATAACAATCTAAAATCAAATGAATATAAAATCTACCAGATCATTTGAATCTACTAAATATATCAAAAACTACTAAGTGATAACATTATCATTATTAACCTTAAACTTGGAAACTGGAAAATGGAACATTTAAGAGGTGATATCATGATAGATTTATGTCACAAATTCCAGGAATAGAAATTCTGATCATGGTCTTAAAGTAAAGAAATTTCATTTTTAACAGTAGTTTTGGCCCCAAACTGTTCTACAAAATCCTTAATACAGAAGGTTGGACCACTTATAAAACTACCTTTGCCTAGATTATAGGGTGAAGTAGACTTCTACTACACCCATATCCAAATCTCAAAACATAAAAAGGGGGCTGGGGTGGTGGCTTAGTGGTAGAGCACGAGCACTAAGCATGTGTGAGGCCCTGGGTTTGATCCTCAGCACCACATATAAATAAATAAAGGAATTGTGTCCAACTACAAAAAAATAAAAAGGATGCTCAAGGTGTTGGGGTTATGGCTCAGTGGTACAGCACTTGCCTAGCATGTGTGATGCCCTGCGTTCAATCCTCAGCACCACATATAAATAAATAAATTAAATTAAGATATTAAAAAAAAAAGGACACTCAAATTAGCCAACAAAGGGAGGCAGAAAATCAAAGACAGAGCAAGATGTTTATCATAATAATTAATGCCAATTTCTTAGGGTTCCCCAAATGTAGAAAGCAGCCCAGGCCATTTGGCACTTGAAAGAGAGAAAGCTGCCCTTTTCCAAGTAGCCATCCGCAGCTTGTTTCATCATTCCTGCCACATGAAACAGAGAACAAAATGGCCCCAATTTGAGAGCTGAGGGCATGGCTTAGTAGAAAAACACATGTTTATCATATACAAAGTATGTATATATTGTATTTAAATGCATAAAATATGTATAAGTGTTTATACATACACACACACACACACATACACATACACACTTGGTGTTCTAGAACTAAATTTTCTAATTGAATATTTCTAAGGCAATAGTTTATTTTTTGTTTGTTTGTTTTTGTTTGTACCAGGTATTGAACCCAGAGGTACTTTATCCAACTAATTATATCCCAACCTCATTTTTTATTTTTTGAGACAAGGTCTTGCTAAGTTGCTTAGGGCCTCACTAAGTAGCTCAGGTTAGCTTTGAAGTCATGATCCTCCTGCCTCAGCCTCCTGAGCCTCTGGGATGGCAACTGTATTAAACATTGGGTTGTGTCAAATATAGGTGCTAGGTTATACTTCAGTCATGCATACATGCAAACTCTGTATATATATACACATACAAACATGTTCTGGCCATTATTTCCTTTCCAAGTTCCAATTTCTAGCAAACAAGCTCAGTCAGTATCCTCAAATTTGGGCCAGATCTTTTATCTTTGGGATTCATGGTTCAGTGTTGGAGTGGAATAATGATGAAAGTTTTTGCTTTTAAACCTGTCTTACTCTTTAGAGATGTCTACAAAATGTATGTTCAGTGAATGAAAAATTCCATTTTGCTTACATTATTCTAATTTTAGTATAAATATTGGCATGTATCAGAAAGCCAGGGCCCCATCCCCAGAAACATTAATTCTGCATGATTGAAGTATAACCCAGGCACCTATAAATGATGCACACAAATATTTAATGTTCTTGACATAAGAATATTCAATTAGTTCAACATACAGAAATCAATAAATATAATTCATCACATCAATAGACTTAAAGATAAGAATCATATGATCATTTCAATACATGCAGAAAAAGCACTTGACAAAATATACTACCCATTCCTCTTCAAAACACTAGAAAAATTAGGGATAACAGGAACATATCTCAACACTGTAAAAGCTATCTGTGCTAAGCCCCAGCCAACATCATGCTAAATGGAGAAAAATTGAAAGCATTCCCCATAAAAACTGGATCAATACAGGGATGCCCTCTTTTACCATTTCTATTTAACATAGTTCTTGAAACTCTGGCCAGAACAATTAGACGAAAGAAATTAAAGGGGTATAGACAGGAAAAGAACAACTGAAATTAGCACCATTTGCTAACGATATGATTCTATAACTAGAACACCCAAAAACTTCACCAGAAAACTTCTAGAACCAGTAAATGAATTCAGCAAAGTAGCAGGGTACAAAATCAACAACCATAAATCAAAGGCATTTTTGTATATCCGTGACAAATCTTCTGAAAGGGAAATGAGGAAAACTACCTCATTTACAATAGAAAAAAAAAGCTTGAAAATCAACCTAACAAAAGAGGTGAAAGACCTCTACAACGAAAACTACAGAATGCTAAAGAAAGAAATTAATAAAGATCTTAGAAGATGGAAAGATCTACCTTGTTCTTGGATAGGCAGAATTAATATTGTCAAAATGACCACACTACCAAAAGCACTATACAGATTTAATGAGATTCTGATCGAAATCCCAATGACATTCCTCATGGAAATAGAAAAAGCAGTCATGAAATTTATTTGGAAAAATAAGAGACCCAGAATAACTAAAGCAATCCTTAGCAAGAAGAGTGTAGTAAATGGTATCACTATATTGGATCTTAAACTATACTACAGAGCAATAGTAACAAAAATAGCATGGTATTAGCACCAAAATAGACTTGTAGACCAATGGTATAGAATAGAGGACACAGAGACTAACCCACATAATTACAGTTATCTTATGTTAGACAAAGGTGCCAAAAAGATACACTGGAGAAAGGACAGCCTCTTCAACAAATGGTGCTGGGAAAACTGGAAATCCATATGCAAAAAAATGAAAATTAAACCCCTATCTTTCACCATGCACAAAACTTAACTCAAAGTGGATCAAGAACCTAGGAATTAAACCAGAGACCCTGTGCCTATTAGAAGAAAAAGTAGGCCTAAATCTCCATAATGTTGGTTCAGGCCCCAACTTCCTTAATAAGACTCTTATAGCACAAGAATTAATATCAAGAATCAATAAATGAGATGGATTCAAACTAAAAAGCTTCTTCTTAGCAAAAGAAACAATCAGTCAGGTGAAGAGACAGCCTACATCTTGGGAGCACATTTTTACCCCTCACACATCAGATAGAGCATTAATTTCTATGGTATATAAAGAACTCAAAAATCTTAGCACCAAAAAAAAAAAAAAAGCAAATAACCCAATCAATAAATGGGCCACAGAACAAACAAATACTTCTCAGAAGGTGATACACAATCAGTCAATATATATATGAAAAAATGTTCAACATCTCTAGCAATTAGAGAAATGCAAATCAAAACTACTCTTAAGATTTCATCTGATGTTAGTCAGAATGGCAGCTATTAAGAATACAAACAACAAGTGTTGGGAAAAAGGCACACTCATACATTGCTGGTGGGACTGTAAATTGGTGCAGCCAATATGGAAAGCAGTATGGAGATTACTTGGAAAACTGGAAATGGAACCACCTTTTGACCCAGCTATCCCACTCCTCAGTCTATACCCAAAGGACTTAAAAATAGCATACTACAGGGACACAGCCACATTAATGTTTATAGCAGCACAATTCACAATAGCTAAACTGTGGAACCAACCTAGATGCCCTTCAGTAGATGAATGGATAAAGAAAATGTGGCATATATAAACAATGGAATATTACTTAGCAATAAAAGAGAATAAAATCATGGCATTGGCAGGTAAATGGGTGGAGTTGGAGAATATAATGCTAAGTGAAGTTAGCCAATCCCCCCCCAAAAAAAATGCCAAATGTTTTCTCTGATATAAGGAGGATTATTCATAGAGGGGTTGGGAGGAGGAGCATGGAGGATTAACGAACTCTAGATAGGGCAAAGGGTGGGAGGGGAAGGAAAGGAGCATGGGGGTAGGAAAAACATATGGAATGAGATGGACATCATTACTCTAAGTACATGTATGAAGACATATACATTACTCTAAGTACATGCATGAAGACATATAGTGTGACTAAACTTTGTGTATAACCTGAGATATGTGTAATATGAATTGAAATGTATTCTGCTGCCATATATAACAAATTAGAATAAAAAATTTAAGAAAAAAGAATATTCAACTAAGAAATTTAGTTCTAAGACACAAAGAAAACTTATTTTAAATGCTTCTCAATTAAAGGAAAATGGAGCAAAGAAAGAATATAAGGACACAAATGAATAAATAAATGGACCTACCCAAGTCCAGCTAAATCAGACACAAGATTTCCCAAAGCAGCAGCTAAAAATTTGAAAAATGACATGTAAATTGTTACATAAAAGTCAGAAAAATTATGATAATATATCAATATGTGACCCACAGAGCACTGGTCTAGGAGGGTAATTACATTAACTATTAAAAACTATATATTTAGAAACTCATTGTAAAGCTTTCAATCTCAAGAGTTCAAAATAGAGTATGATTCTGAAATTATAATATTCTACCTCTATACAGTAATAAGTTTCTTTTTTTCTGTAATAGCAGCCAGTTTCTGTTTTGGTTTCAATGCCAAAACACATACATAATATTTTATAATTTTATCTTTCATACAATGTATATTTCATATTCACATAATTGGAAGTTAAAGACTAAAGCCATACATACAGCTCTGAATTCAAGGAAGTCAAGGAAAAGAAACATTACTGTCAGGAACTCATTGACCTCATGTTTTTCACACAATAAACAACAAGGAACCATTTCCAAAATTTCACTATCATGAGCAAAGTGGTAATAGAGGCAGAAGGAAAGGGGTTCAATCGTGTATTCTGATTTTCTGCTTTTCTAACCAACTAGAAAATAATTTAATAGAGACAAAGGATAAACAGATCTGAGGGTAACCATGAATTACCAGACAAACTTGTTTTAATATAGACAATATGACAGAAAACTGTTACCTATTAATTAACATGAAATATCTAAAATTTCTTGGAACAAAGTGCTACATATATAAAACTAAGAATCAGAAGACTAGGACTAAGAAAATAAACAGATATTTCAATTAGTAAATTCATTTCAAATAAATTATCATCTTCTAAACCTAACCTACTGAAATCTTCTATAAAATACATACCCAGTAGAATAATAACATTTGCTATTATTATATACCTGCCATCGTTGAAATTCCCAAAATAATTCCAATAGATAACTCGATATGGGTTCCCTGAAAAATGATTAAGAAAAAAATCTTAAAAATTAAAACAAAGTGACTATAAAAGAATAGCAAACCATTAATAAAAATGGGTAAAACAGTTAAATCAACATGTTAGTGCAGCAAAATATGGAGAAATATGCACGTTATGAGGTATTTCACTTAATTATTAAATATATTCATTCATGCAGAAATAACATTTTATTTATTAAAATTAAGCCTTTTAAAAACAAAATAATACCCCATATAGAGATACAATTCATCATTTTAAAAATCTAGAATTTCTATTTTTCTATCACAGAAAAAGATGGTTTAAAGCTCCTTGAACACAAAGACTAACTCTCATAATTAAATTCTAAATGATATATCTCTACTATTGCTATTTACTGAAAGATTAAAAAGACTAAACCAGTTCCTAGAGAAACTGAAGTTTGTAAAATTATCCTTGTAATATTTAGTTCTTTATCCATTAAGTAGTGAAAGTATATGATTCATTCATAAATAGTAACAGCATTTAATATAATAGACCTAACAATAAAAATAAGACCCTAATGCATTTCCACTGAATTTATTTATAGACAGTTAAATATTTTCTACATTTCTATTATCGTTCCACTGGTGGCGGGGGGAATAAAGCTCATATATTTACTTTCACTTTAAAGCAGAACTGAAATAAAGAAGATTGTACTACTCTAATGGCCTATTTAAAACAGAACAAAGAGGAAATTCTAGGATCTATTGTGCTAGTACAGTTCTAATGTATGAGCAAGCCTGCAACAGGTGGACTTAATTTTCAAGAGCCCTCTTAAATAACACTGACATTTGAAAATTTCTTTAAAATTTTTTTTAAAAATCTCAATGATGTTGATACAAAAATGTCCTATTATATAGAAATATTGCATTATTTATCCACTGTTTACAAAACTGAAAAGAAACTGAAATAATAATCCTTAAGACATGGATGTGCCTGATAAACAAAAGTCTCCTCCGCACTTAAAATGACACGCTTTCTAAAAGCACCCAAAGAAACAGATTTCTGAAAAAGGAAACAAAAAAGTAAGGAAAAAACAGGCACAGAAATAAAAATGAAGATGCATATCTTTATATGTGAATGTAAAAGAACTGGAGCAACACTAGAAGAGAAGCATCTCACAGCTACAGCATACAATAAATATATACAGCACCTTGAAGATCGATGAATCTTTGCAATACATGTATTTAAAAATATTTTCATGCTTAATTACTTGGTTGAACTTAAACATATTTGGTCCTCCTAAGACCATGAAAAGACTCATGTAAATTCAAAGACAGTTTGAGGAGAGCAATTGACCCTCCACTTCTTTACTTTGTGTCACAGTTACGTCAAATTTTGTATTAATAGGCAAGGTAAAAATTATATATAAATCTAATATTAGTTGTCTTAAAGTTATATCTGGCTCATCACCTTAATACAGTTAATCTATTCTAGACTCTAAAATGTTCTATCCTAATTAAAAGTCATTCAAAAACATTAAAATATAAATTATAAAATCCTAAAAAATCAGGCAAGGTGATACAGTCCTGTAATCTCAGCGACTCAGAAGGCTGAGGTCAAAGGATTACAAATTTGAGGACAGTCTCAGCAATTTAGCAAGTCTCAAAATAAAAAATAAAAGGGCTGGGGATGTAGCTCAATGGTAAAGCACCCTAGATTCAATCCACACTTCTTAAAATAATAAAATAAAATAAAAAGCAATCCTATAATAAAAAAATATAATGAACTATGAAACCCAAGGATTAGTATTAATAGCAGCCAATAATAAAGGTCTAATTTATGACAAACAATTATACAAGAATCTGCTTTTATGACTACAAAAGTAGCAGCCAGAAAAGGACATCTAATAGGAAGGCAGAAAAGGTCAAATGTCACGCTAGACAGTAGGTAAGATATGGCATGAAAGAACAAAATAAACAAAGAACTTCTTACTAAGTCTTAAAACAGTCACAACTGTTCTATAATATGAAGAGAAAATCAGTATTTTAAAAAATTAAAAAGGTAAAAAACATTCTTACAATGGTAATGATCACTTATTTTCCTTTCCACAGACTACAGTTATATTATTTATCCATTTGAGTCTTAGCAGTTTATTACAAATGCCTCACCAGAAACTGTCCTGTCAGTCTCTGAACTGGTCTGCAGAGCATCTGTGCCACACCTATCACTCTCTGCAAATGTTTAAGGTGGTAATTTAAAATATTTATTTTAGCAAAAAACAGTGATTCGTCCTTGAAGCCGGGTTTAAATATAAACAGAGTAAGGAGTTATTACAAATTTGGAATTAAACATTTTAGGCCTAAAAAAATTAGTCTATTCTCAGTTACATTAATAACAAGGCACAGGCCTGAGTAACACAAAATAATAATCAACCCTAAAATAATCTGACTTTTGAATATGTTTTGGTTGCTGTTTTTAAACACAGATATCTATTACTTTAAATATTTATTCTTTTTTAAAAATGATGACCATACTGTGAAGGTATTATTCTAGATTTAAGAAACTAAAAGTTTCCCTATTCTGACCTTTCTTCAAAATACTCCTACACCCCTCTTCCTGCAAAATATATCACACGATTCCCTGTAACAAGGATATTCTTTCAGCATTTCAGTATTTAAGGTCTGTCCTATTGTGGTGAAAAACATAATGGTTATAAAGATGGTGGCATGGGTACTAGCTATCAATAAAGAGAACCCAAAATGCTGACTAAAACCATGCCAAACTGAAAGAAATATTTACCACAGAGACTTTCTATTCATGAGCACATGAATCCTGGAGCACAATCTACTCACAAGCACACGAAGTTTTAACTACAGCTTACAAATTTAACAAAACGGAGTTTTCATTATAATTAGATTTGATTTACATTTACTCTTTAATTTAGACAACTCAGATTTTAGTCACTTCAGAAAAGCAGTGCAGTTCTAAATAGCTGAATAAATCTCTCACATTCACAGGTACGCAAATAGACCAATTTTATTCTTTTGTGTACATTAGGAATATGTCATAAACAATAAAAAAAAAAACTAGCATTCTGGAATTCTATTTTAAGGCCTTCACTAAGTGTGTTAGCCTATAGAAATCTGATCTTGCCAGGTTTCTTTACTAAAGAATCCTTTGTGTGCATGCCAGAGCATCTTCTGTCATGGTTTATGCAGCAGGATGCCATGTGCTGTGTGAGCCCTGTGAGTCTCCTCCACCAGGTGAATGGCTGAACTTTGTGGGTGGCTAATCTACATCAATATGGACATCAGAGCTACACTATATAGCAAACAAAGCTATTCTAGAATGAACCAACATTAGGTATTCTTTAAGCAACTTCTATAATCTACATAATGTGAATTACTTTTAAAAATATCTACTTTGAAACCAAATCTTGTATTTACATTCACTTGCAATCCTGGTGAACTCGAAAACACAAAAAGAAACCCTGCATCTCTCATGTCATTTCTTCATAGTCAATAATCCTAAGATTATTTTTTTTCAGTAGTCTCCTACAATGTAGTATATTTATAGTATTAATCATAGATAATAGAACTTTTAAGAGTCATTGAAACTAACAACAAACTCTCTAAGCTCTAAGTTAAAGAAGCACTTTGATTTTCTCAAATGAGTTCAAGTAAAACCCCTACCTGAGAACTCTTAAATTGGTATCCAGAAATAATTGCTACTTTTATCACCTCACAGAAAATAGATAATAGACCTTCAATCTAACATCTGAGAAGAAAGAATTCACATTAAGTATTCTAAAACTATGTACTAAAAGTTGTTATTACCTTACAATGATCAACCCATTCCATTTGGACAAAATAAGAGAAAAGTGAATAGAACACTGGACGGTTTTTGAAGACTTGCATTTTGATCATGGACCTATTTCTGTTACGAATATGGACCAAATATTGGTATACTTTGCCAAGAGGCATTACTAATAATAAGAAATGCATATCAACCAATTAGGATACACTTTTAAGAAGCATCCTTACATTTAAATGACCATATGAAGGGGACTACTATAATGCAACAAAGGCAGAAAGGGCAATATATTCAATGCTCTGAAATGAAACTTTACAACTTCTGGGTTAAATGGCTAAAGCTCAGACTGTATATCAAAATATCTGTTGAAACATTTTTGAGTGAGAAAATTAAACAATGAACTAATCAAATAACCTACATAAGTGATGACAACTAGTAACACAATTAAAGAATATCAAAAAAAATTGCATGCTTTTTTCTTTCAAAGGGTTGAAACTTGATTAGATGATATAAACCTTAAATGACTTATCTAAATGCTTTGCCAAAGTCTTAATAATTAACATATATCGTGCCTTAAAATTGAGCTAATCTAATTAACATGAAACATAAAATAGTGTTGATCATTATGATGTTAATTAAAATTAATAGCTATATTATACAAATTATTAGGAAAATATAGACCACAATCATTTCTTTATTAACTCAAAATAGAAGTGGTGAGAGAATGAACTTACTGCAACAATCATAATTGCATTATCCAAAAAGCCAAACCCTATGAAAGGTATCGCATTGTGGATGAATACTGAAAAACATCAAAAACAGAAAAAAGTAGATTTTAAGATTTAACTTTAGAATGAAAAAAACAGACCATATGATTAAAGTCTCCAGTAGACTTGATAATCTTTAGAATTTGTTTCTCATCTCTCATAGTCAATAGATTCTGCTATTGCTATAAGTTTAACTACTTGATAAAAGTTATACTGGAAAAAACAAAACAAAAAATACATAACATGTAACAACAGTTGTATTAGTCTTTTGTGTTTTCTTACTGGCAATACACATATATGGACACACCCACACATAAATATACATTTGGTTAATGATGGAACAACTTAGTAAACATATAAATACTATATTGTACCTGATTAATTGCTACAACATCAATCTGTTTCTCTTTATGCCTAAAGACTATTATCATAAAATTGATCTTTGTATTAGAAATATTGAAAAATGCCCAGAATCAAATTTCTGGGAAGTTACTTGATTGCTTTTATTCACTAACCAATTTTTTAAAGAAAAACTGTCTGAAAAATATGATTAACTTATTTTTTAGACATCTATATGCAGTCCTTCCCCATTCACAATTCATCAGGATCCCTAAATCCTACTACAAAACCATAAAGAATCAATTTGTTTTGAATCAAAATATAATTTGACCCTTCCTACCAAAGGCACACCTAACCTCATCTATCTGGTGCATAATATAAATGAAGTGATATATTAAAAGTGCAACTTGGAAGAACTAAAACTTATTTATACATTTAGCCTCATATTTTCATATTTGCATCTTCAGCACATTACATAATGCTGAGAACATAGTAGATGCTCAATAAATAATAATTGAGGGCCACTACCTGGAAAAGAAGAGCATTCCATATTGAGAGAACTGAAGGCAGACTGTGAAACAGATTAAAAGCTGGGAATAGGTAAAAGACTTGATTCTAATTAAAACTATAAAATTGCCAAGGTATGGTCAATATCAGTTCAACTAAGGGCTTTCTTCACTAAACGTCAAAACCCAGTTTCATACTATATCCAAAACATAGTCCCTTAAACCAATTGGTTATATATGTGTTAGGTGATTTTAGAGTCTTTTTTCTTTTAACTCAGTTAAGTCCATAGAAAATATAATTGAAATATTATCTAGAAGTTATGAAACTTTAATCTTACTATAGTGAGTTCTGCACCAATCAGGGAAAGCTAATAAGTAGTTTTTAAAAAGGCACTATCAAAGATAAAGGGAAAGAGTATATAGAATATAATAATGCATACTATTATATATAAAAAAGAGAGTACATAATAGGTATATAATAGTTATTTCAGATTTCTTCTTGCTATTAAGTAGAATTGTCCAATATTAAGAGAAAAATATTTAATTATGAATAGTATTTTAAAAGCTATTAAGATGATAAAATAAAATAGCATATTAATGAAATGGGATTTTTCAGAGTCTAGCCTTACTTCTTTGACTTTTTGCCTTTATCTAATTGCTTATCTACTGAGCATTCTAAATTTTATAAGAAACATATACACAATCCTAATTTCCAAAAGTAAAGTACAAATAGCTTAAAATAATATAATGAAAAATTTTAAATTCATCAAGTGAAATATGTACAGTAAATAAAAAGCTACTTAAGTATAACTGCAAATCATCTTCCCAAGTTCTTTGAAACATCTGGCAGAGTAATGATGAAATCAGTTAAGATTACTCAGCATTTGGGGTTAACCTGATGTCATCTCTAAAACTGTCTGCGATACAAACATCTTAATATTAAATATAAAGGAGATTAAATTAAGATTAGTCTAATTGTTATCCTTGTAAAAACTTGGTCAGTAAAACCAAGGCACATTGCTACAGAAATCACTTTGAACTATAAAATACATTATGTTTTTATGTTTCTACCTTTTAAAAAAGTCCTATAAATAAAATTTCTTTTTAACCCAAAGGAAAAAGTATAATTTTTTTTAAAAAGAAAATGAATAATGTATTAGGCACTCAACTGGGAACTTGAGCTACAAAGATAAACAAAGGTTTTAGGTATGGTGACATATCTATATAAACATGAACTACAAAAAAAGCTAACAGTATTATATGGTGATGTCAATATAGGTAGTATGAATTAGGATGGAAGAATAAGGAAAGAGTCTTCCCAGGTGGGAAGAATAGTCCTAAAAATTCTGAAATTCTTTGGCATTTGGATTAAGTTACTAATTTCTAATATAAATTTTATTCTACCTATAAGAAAAAAAAGAGCTGGTTATTAGATAGTTTTTTCTAATGATATAAATTTGCTTTAATTATCTCCTACTAATATGTGATTTCTTCAATTTTCTTTGGGAAACACTATAACATAGAAATTGTTAGCAAATCACATTTAATATTTGGCTTCAATTTACAACCTATTCAAATTTGCTATATCATTAGATAATTCTCTTCTTCTTATAGTACGATCCTTAACTGTTTTATATTACTTCCAGGTTAGTCCTACAATATATTTATTCCTATTATAATGGAGAAAAGAAAGAAAAGCAGCATTTTAATAAGGTTATTCTTCCTGGTGTTTTCAATGAACTTTACTTTTCACTGTTTACAAACAGTTAAGCAGGAAGTATTTTCTGCATCAGAGAAGAGTTCTATCTAGTTTTGAGCCTAGAAATTCTAGTTCTTCAGTTATCGCACTTAAATTCAAATACATTCTTTTTCCTGGAATTAAGAAAAATTCTATCGTAAGTATAATTATATTTATAGACAGCAATAATATCTTGACATATTAGCTATTAAACACTATTAGCTATACCATAGTACTGTGTTAATATCAAACCAAGTTTATAAAATGCTTCTGCAAAATAAATAAGATAATCTACTTTTTCTAGCAAGATTAATTTACTATTTCTTCTGTGCTATTAATAAATGATATAGTTATATCAAGTCCAAAAGATAGATGCACATATATTTAACAATTATAGAACCATTACCATATCTCAGCTGTCCTGGGGTAGGTGGCAGAGCTTCCAATTTTTCTAAAGGGGAAAAAAAGGGTGTGAGGCAAGAATTAGTTACTATAACATGATTTTTTTATTACAAAGAAGAAAACACCGGTAGAGATACAACATGGAAGAACAGTAGAGTTTATTCATAAATTATGTTTAGGTTAATGGACAACAGTTATCTATTTAAAAGAACATTAACTGCTATGATTAAACTACAAAGTTAGCAAACAAAACTGACCTTTAGTTATAAGCCTACCCTGGGCCCCGAGGCTCTGCGTAAATCACATTTTTTGTATTTCTTTTACTTAAGTTCTTGCATCTATATAATGAGACTATCTGCACTAATTACAGTAGAAAAACACTTCAGAAATTTAGCTACTATTTTTAAGGTAACATCTCAAGAAAACTTAATATGTATAAATACTGATAGCAGAAAATACTCAAATACACCCAGATATCCTTTAAAAATAGGATAATATCCTAAAGCAATGTAATTACAACAATGATTTTACTAGATTAGGTAAGGTTCTTTAATTCCATTAGATAATATACAGAATATTTTGATTTTTGAAATCTATACTAGTAGATAATATTCTGCCTAATACAACAATCAAAAAACTATGCTATTATTCAAAAGCACAAGTATAATACATGTCATAATGTTTCCCCAAGTATTAATTTAAGTATCTTGAATAGTCATCAATATATGTAAAATTAATTATTACAAAAAATTATATGTAAAAAATAACTATTACCAAAAAAACTACCATTTCATAACAAGAACCATCTCACCACCTGTGTAAGTTAAAAAGGTAGAGAATTCTACCTCCTATCCTCACCCAATCAGATAGAATTAATTGATGACACATGGAAGAACCTTAGCAATGGCTCACTCTCCAATAGATTTAGTTCAACCAGATTGTCTCAGGAAACACATTAAAAACTGGATATATATCTTCTAAAATATTTATTGATAATTTTTGACAATATAAGAACTGAAAAATTTTGTTTTAAAAAGTAAAAAGCAAATAAATTTCCATTGATAATCTATACAAAAAGCAATGTGGTCCATATTTGTGACTGGTGTTTTCTAAAATTGCATATAGTCCCACAATGGCTTTACAAAAAAAAACAAAAAAACACTAAAACCTAGAGTTGAATCATTGTATTATTCAGAATGTTCTAAGAATGAATGTTTACTTTTTTTCCTTATTAAAAAAGAAGATATATTAATTTTTGAAGAATTTCACATCTGACAAAATTAAGTCTCCATTCTTTGATTAGCACTCTTATCTCAAAATCTACTTTGAAAGCATGCAAATGGCTTTTCAAATTTTTAGCTAGGAATATAGGACACCACTGTACTCCAGAGAATTTTCTAGTGAAGTAAACATGCAAAAGTGGATACATATCAGAACTATTTGTTAGTTACATTATTATCATCACGGTGAGAAGTCCTTGTTAGCTGACAGGAACATTCTGAAATACTTAAAATCTCAACAAGCAGGACCTTCCCAACAGAGTTAGCATACACAGGGAACTTTCTTTTACTTCTTCAAATTCCCTATACATTGAACAAATTATTTAGAATATCCTACAAATCCTAAGAAAGGATAAAGCCTAGACAAATGAATAATGGATAGGCCCAGCACAGTGGCAAAGACCTGTAATCTCAGCAATTCAAGAGGCTGAGGCAGAAGGATGGCAAGTTCAAGCCCAGTATTAGCAACTTAGTGAGGCCCTCAGCAACTTAGCAACCTTGTCTCAAAATAACTTAAAAAAAAATAAATTGAAAAAGGATTGGGGATGCAGCTCAGAGGTAAAGTTCCCCTGGGATCCGCAGTACCAAATAAATAAAGTACATAAGTACTGTGGACAGGACAGTGAGGTAAATCACTAGAACAATATCAGAGTAAAATCAAAATCCTGCTTCACAAAGAACCTAAGGAGTACAAGAAGAATCATAAAGGGAACATTCTTTAGAACATGACAATTTTATTGAAAAGTACCCCTGAGTTCAAAGCCATCCTCAGCAAAAAGCGAGGCACTATGCAACTTAGTGAGACCTTATCTCTAAATAAAATACAAAATAGGACTAGGGTGTGACTCCATGGGTGAGTGCCTCTGAGTTCAATCTCCAATTCCCTCCCCCCCAAAAAAAAGAATCCTTGAGGGCTGGGGATGTGGCTCAAACGGTAACACGCTCGCCTAGCATGTGTGGGGCACTGGGTTCAATCCTCAGCACCACATAAAAATAAAATAAAGATGTTGTGTCCACCAAAAACTGAAAAATAAATATTAAAAAACTCTCTCTCTCTCTTCTATCTTTAAAAAAAAGAATCCTTGACATATGGTAAATTATCTATGATTACATAAAAATGTATTCTACTAATGTTTTACTAAGTAGACCTGAGTGTATGTGTGTGTTATATCATACATTCTCCCTTTTCTGTGTATTTTAAAATAATGAGGTAGCTGTTAAAACTCTGCTTCATCATACCATACTTGCTGACTTCTTTTAGCTCAAAACTTCTGGTTCTTCATCCAATAATGGCTAAGTAAATTCTTATCAAATCAGTCCTCCTACATAGAATAAGCTACAGACAAAATAGAGTTAATAAATTTCAGAAGCACTAGAAAATGACTGCAACAGGTTTATTCTGAAGGGAATCAACACTTAAAAGAAATAATACAAAATGAGTTAATTACCTGTTTGTTGCAACCTTCAGCCTGAGAGTAGGCCCCCAAACCCCAAGCACACATAGTTTCACTTTGGATTTAAAAAAAAAAAAGCCCTCCCAAAAACTTATTACAATGAAGAAATACTTCCCAACTTATTTTATGAGGAGAGAATAATACTAAAACCAAACCCTACCAAATTATCAAAAATAATAAATTGCAGACCAATATCCTTCATGAATACAGCACAAAAATCCTTAGTTGAATGATAATTGTTGTCTTCCTAAAGTATGAGTGTTTACTCATAATAGTGATAAAAATAACATTCAAACTTCATCACATTTTCCCCCCTTTCTTAGGTAGTTCTCATTTTTGAAAGAAGTGACCTTTAATAGGAGTCCATGTTTAGAAAGAAATAGGATAGGGAAATTACCCCATAAGAATCTGTGAGATTATACTTATACATAGGATTTCTTTGCTTTAGATTTCACATTGTAAAAACTCTTAGCTGAAAGGTAAATAAAAGATAATTGCTGCAAACTGATAATTTATTTTATATCAAATCAAATAAAAAATATTTGAAATGTGACTCTTCTTGTCATTGAGAATTTATATACATTCAGATATTATAATACATAGGTGATATTTCCTAATATAAAACACTCCAGACATTCATCACAATCCTGGAAACATGAGAAAAATATTTTGCATGTTTAATATAAGATTTTTCAACACTTTCAACATATTGTTTTGCTTCAGTAATCCAGGAACACTAGAGAAAACAATTTAAATATTGAAAGCAAATTTATTTTTTAAAATGAATTTAAGAACTGGGGCTGGGGTTATGGCTCAGGGGTAGAGCACTTGCCTACTATGCATGAGGCACTGGGTTTGATCCTCAGCACCACATAAAAATAAAAATGAAGATATTGTGTCCACCTATAACTAAAAATATTTTTTAAATGAATTTAAGTACAAAAAGAGGTATTTCAATTAGTTTTCTAAATAATTCAAGCAACCAGAAAACTGTCATAGCTCATAAAATACTGTTTCTGCCTAAATAGAACAATATTAAATTTCAAAAACAATGTTTCTTTAATGATTCAGATATTATATTATATTAGATTCATCAGCTTAAACTTCAATTATTATATTTAAGAGATATAAAACTGAGAAGTGCTGTCATAAAGACTTAAGAGGGTCTGAAGAGAACATAATTCTTTTTTTCTCCTATTTCAGAAATAAAAATGCATTTAACTCAGCTACATTTTGTATTTTATCCTATATATGTAGAAATATTTTATACTATATTTACTTAAAGAAAAGGGGAAATCAGAGAGGAAGAGAAGGACAAAGGGGAGAAATGAGAAACATAACAGGTAAAAAAGAAAAGATGAGAAACAAATGCAGAGGGAAAAGGGAAGCACTGGTGACTGAAGTGGAACAAATTACATTCCATTCATGTGTGATTATGTCAACATGAACCACACTATTATGTATAACTACAATGCACTAATAAAAACATTAAAAATATCTTTTAAGCAGATATTTTAAAATTTAAAAAGAAAGCCTCCCAGGTCACATGAGAATAAAACTCCAATCTGGGAGAATTCCTTGCTGGAACTGGGTTTTCAGTCCCTCTACTGTTTGCTTTGTTGGTTAACCTACAGTAGTCTGAACTTGTCATCTTTGGATAAGACTCAGTTTGGACAAAGATATAGAACACAATACTAAGCTCCCTTAGAACAACAGATGAAGAGAAATCACCTCCAACTATGCCAGAGATTCCCAGGTTTTGCTGTAAAGGTTTTTGTACTCCTCATCATGCGGAGAGTTTAAGATAAATTCCTGACTAATTATTTATTTACTATTGTCCCTTTTCTTAATTTTAAGTTAAGGTAGCATCTGTGGTAACAAATTGGCCAACTGTAATTTTTAATAAGATGAACTCCAGTTAATCAGGAATTTTCATTCTCCTACTGGAATGTATTCAAAAAATAGTTTTTTATTGGCAAAGTTTTTCCAAAGAAACATACTTAGGACAATAATCCTAAAGGCAAGTCTATACTACTATATTATCTCTAGTCATATAAGAAAAAATATTTCCATTTTACAACTAACCATATGGTTTTATCCTAGGAAATTCCTACAAGGTTTTATCAAAATATGTTTTAGAAAACTTCATAACTGAAATATGACTTACATTAAATTATTTTTATTAATGCTAATAATTTTGGCATATTAAATTTAAAATTTTACACTAAAACTCAAAATGAAGTAGAAATTTATTTTAAATTATACTTTTCAGGAACATGTAAGTTTTAAAACCGAAGCTCTAGTAGCATAACTGC